CCCCCCCAATCCTCCGCCCCTTCTCCGTCCGCGCCTCCGCGCCCCTCTCCGCCGGCGGCGGCGGCGCTGCGCCCTGCCGCGCAGCGACCAGCTGAGAGCAGATTCCCGCCAGTCGGTCGTGTGCCGCGGCGTCGTGTCGGCCGGCTAGTTGCGTCCCCCCTCCCCCCGCGCGCCGCCGGCAACAAAAACAAACCGCGACTGCGAACTTGACACCCGCCCTTCTTCGACAGCCTGTTTGCGCTCGCTCGCTCGCTCGTGGGGTTTGGCGGCGGCGCGACCTTCCGTTCTTTTTCGCGTTTGCGGTTCGAGTGTACAGCTTTATGTCGACTAACAAGGGTACATGCGTGTCGAGTGTCATTCTGCCTGTTGATTTAGTCCGCGCGACAGTGTGTGCGAATAGGGTTAGGTTCGGCTTAGGAAGTGAGAGACTTTTCGGAGGACGGGGTGAAGCGTGGCTGTCTGTCTTCGGCTTCTCATGAGTGCTCGTTGCGTCGCTCCAGGACGCAGCGCGAGTGACAGTCGGGGACGCAGGACGAACGCCGCCCCATCGGAGCGGGCCTGAATACCGTGGCTGAACATCCTGAACATGCCGCGCACAGCCACCCGTTGAGCAGAACCAAGCAAAAGTGCACCTTGTCATCGTCCCAGCCCCAGCCGTCCACATCTTCACGTCGCCCTGAACCGGAAGGCGGTGCGAGCGAGGGACACGGGCCCTACCACCCACCCAGTCTGAAAGGTATTTTATTCGTATGTTCTGCTGCCCTCGTGTCTTCTCGTGTTGCTGTGGGAAATCCCACAGCTGCAACAGCAGCGCTGCAAAATGATGCTGCTGCTGCGCCATGAGCGCCCCCATTACCATCACCATCATGTTGGCCACTACAACGCGCGCGCGTTTCTTTTCCCAGAGGTCTGGGCTGCTCTGCGGGCGGTGCGGCGGGACAAGGGGGTGACCCGATTGTGTCGATAATTGCGCATTACTGATGGGTCGATCGCGTTATGCCTGAATTCTGATGACATTTCCAGCAGGTTAACGAAGGACTTATTGGACCTCTTTTGTTATCTGGGCGTGACATCAATAACCTTGAGAGCAGATTTTAAAGAGAAGGTGTTATTGTTGTTAATTGGCTTTTAACATGATGCAACAATAAAGTGATAAATACTTGTCTTGTTAACAAAATTGTTTGTAAATGTCCAGTTGCGATTGTGGGTGATAAAGGTTTTAGGAAAAATAGTAGGGGGAAAGCCAAATGCAAAGTAGAAAAAAAATGAAAATATATGTTTTACCCACATTGACGTGAAGCGAGGGCTACTGCGCTATCGGGCTTATGGGCTTACTATCATTTTCACAGTTCAATTAATTTGGGAAAACATTTTGCATTGGGATCGTATTTGTCTGAAATTGGTGGCTGAGTGGGTCAGATGTGCCTCCCTGTTTCGGCCGATCCTTTCTTGCGACCAGCCGCACAGCCGCTTTGGCCACGGCCACCACCATTAGGCTGTTTCAAAAAAAATTACCTATGCCAGAGCGAGGTTTTTCTGAAAGTTTATTTCATGCTGATACTCATGGAAAAAACCCGGGGGCTGTGCGATGAAGGGAACCCGGCGCAACCCGCGCTCAAAGT